AGAAAGTTTTTCAGAGGACGAAGTGGATGTAATACAGCATGAAAGGAGAAAAACAGAAATCAGCAGGACTATAATCGAGGGGAGCTTTAGAAAGATATGAATTCGGCAACTATGACTCAGAATGGAATTACCAGAATTTAATGGCCAATTACATATAGAGAATTTCTTGGATTGGAAAGATTTTTTGGTTGCATAGAAATTCCCGATGCAAAAAAAAGTTAAATTAGTTGCACTAAAATTCAAAAGGGAAGCTACTGCATGGCAGGATCAGACCACCATGAATAGAGCCAAGTTCCAGAAAAAAACCTATAAGAACTTGAGATAAATTAAAAAAATCTGAAGCAGAGATTCTTACCAGTGGAGTTTCAAAGCATCCTATTCACACAGTACCAAAATTGCAAGAAGGGCCACAGATCAGTAGCTGAATATACAGAAGAATTCTATCGACTGGGAGAAAGAAACAATCTCAATGAATCTGAGGAGCAATAAATGGCAAGACATGTTGGAGGCCTAATGTCAGTACTATAAGAAAAAGTGATTTTACAACCTCCAATGTCCCTTATAAAGACTGCGACTATTGCAGAACAATTAGAAAGACAGACAAATAAGTATTCTTCCTTCTCAACTGGGACTTTAACTAGTAAGGCTGGCCATTCAAAGGATAAGGGTGTTCTGCCAACACATGAAAAAAATACCACTGATCTGATGCCAAGGATGGAGCACAATAAGATGCTACAAATGCCAAGAAATAGGCCATAAATCTAATAACTGTTCTAGGAAGGGAGCTGTAAAACTTTGTGAAGGAGTAAGAGACCCTGGAGATTATTATGGTTCTGATGAATTTAGTGATGCTGTGGATCAATACAACCCTGATGAAGGATCAAGTCTGTCCTTTTTGGGTGCATAGATCTTTTCACACTCCTAAGGTAGTTGAGAAGGTACAAAGAACAAATCTATTTCACACCAAAGGGACGGTTAAAGGGAAAATTTGTCAGATAATCATTGACAATAGGAGTACTGATAACCTGATATCTGAGAAAGAAGCAAAGAAGTTAGAACTTAGCCTAGAAGAAAACCCAAAATCATACACAATAGGATAGATTAAAAATGGTGGAGTAAAAATCAAGTACGTGTGCAAAGTAGCACTATCTATTGGAAAGAGATACAGACATACAGTGATACAGTGGTATGTGATGTATTTGACATGGATACAACACATATCCTATTGGGCAGACCATGGCAATATGATGTAAATGCCACTCACCATGGAAAATTGAGCTTTCAGACTAATGGTAAAAAGATTGCATTGCTGGCCTCACCTCCTGAATCTTCCTGCAAGAAAGCTATAAACAGAAATTTTCTACTTCAACAGAGATCAAAATTTGTCGAGGAATTGAGAAGTGAAGATATGGGATTATCTCTTGTGATCAAAGAGTTAGAAAAGGAAAGTTCTAAGCTGAAAGAAATTCCAGCTGAGGTACAAACCATTCTAAATGATTTTCCTTCTATTTCCTTGGCTGATTCAGAGGTGTCATGATGCAGTCACTCTTCAGAGATGATGATAATGTAGGGGGTGGGAAGAAGGTAGAAGCTTCTTCACAGATCTAGATCTGTCTATCTTGGAATCCACCAAGAACAAAAGCAATAGTAGTGTATGAAAAGAAGAAAAGCAAAAGTGAAGAAACGAGAGAGTAAGACAAAATAGAGGAATAATACCTTGATTAAAATATATCCCTCTCTTTCTCTGGGCCCATTCCTTTTATACTCACACTATTGATAAATGGGCAATTCAATGGTGTGAGTCAGATCCCATTTAATTGGAACAACTATTGGCTTGACCCGGGTCAAGCCAATTATTGTTTAATCCATCAACTAAGACTGCATCATGTCACTATCACGAGTAAGACCCATTGAGTATAGAATAGACATATTCCTGAGAGCATCTCTACCTAATCTTCCTCATTACAGATTATGCCCTAAGGAAGCTGAAATTCTCCAGAAACAGGTAGAACATGTGCTGGTAGATGGACTGATCAGAACAAGTATAAGTCCTTGTGCTGTACCTGCAGTTTTAGTCCCCAAGAAAAATAAAGACTGGAGGATGTGTGTAGATAGAAGAGCCATAAACAGAATTACAGTGAAGTACATGTTCCCTATACCTAGACTAGAAGAGCTGCTAAAGTTTTGGCAGGAGCTAAGATTTTTTCTAAAATGGACTTGGAGAGTGCGAATCACCAAAGCAGAATAAGAGAAGGAGACAATGGAAAATAACATTTAAAACCAGGCAAGCGCTATATGAGTGGATGGTGATGCCATTTGGCTTGTCCAATGCATCATCAACTTTTATGAGATTGATGACCGAGGTTTTAAAACCACTGTTGGGAAGCTGTATTATATTTTGATGACATTTTAATCTTCAGCAAGGTTCGGGATGCACCACCACCAGGAGCATTTGAGCTTTAGCGCCAGTGGCATTTTTGTAATTATTTAAAAATAAGAAAATTCAAGTATTTTTATATATCAATCGCTAAAATATAGGCTGGACAATAAAATAATCAATTAATTTTTTTAGTTAAAAATATATTAGATAGAAAAATTATTATAATACATGTATTTATTATAAAACCCTATAATTCATTGTAATACTCTAATTTATTTAACACATGTAGACTTTATCTAGTCCCATATTGATAGGATATTAAAAGTACAAAGAACACTCTATAATATATTTAACACATGTATACTTTATTTAGTCCCATATTGATAGAATACAAGCTTTTTCATGCGACCATGCGGTCATGCGATGGCCATGGTCGCATGACCTCCTGGGGCGCCTAGGCATCGCCGGAGCAGCCTGGTCGACGATTGCCGGAGCTCGCCGGAATTTGCGTTCGAGGTTCGCCGGAGGTAGAGGTGGCTGGAAATTTGGGAGAAAGGGGAGGAAATGAGAAGAAATAGGGAGAAAAAATGAGGTGTTATGGTTTTAAAACCCTAACTCATTTTAAATGTAAATAAATGGGTTAATGGGTTAGGCGGATCCAACCGGATCAGCCTAACCCATCCAACGCATGAAGGCAAACGCCTACATGCGCTGGACCGCATGGCCGCATATGTGTCGCATGAAAAAGCTTGATAGAATATAAAGAATACTATATAATTTATTTAACACATGTACACTTTATTTAGTCCCTTATCGATAGATTATAAAAAGTACAAAGAAGGTTGGTCATAAATAAAGATTCATTTTGTCTAAAAAATATAAAGTCTTAAGAATGAGAGGATTTTATATTAAAAATAATATAATTTTTTCATGGACCAATGTATAAATTTTTAACATAAATATGTTTATAAAATTTATAAGATCTTAAAATAATAATTTTTATTTATAATTTTTTTTTCGGGCCGGTTTCTTATGATTCAGACCCGGCTAAGAGTGATGTGCATCTGCGCAAAAGCGTGCACAGAACCATGGTCTTCAGCGAGAGTAGAGAAGACTATGGTTAAAGATGTAAAATCAGTATTCAATTTCTGTTGGCCGAAAATCAGTATTCAATTTCTGTTGGCTGAAAATCAGCTGAAACTTAATCTTAAAAAGTCTGACTTTTTTTTCTTCTGAAGAACTCTGTTTCCTGGGATTTATTATTGGGATTCATGGCCTGAAAATGGACCCAAAGAAAATAGAAGCTTTACAGAATTGGCCCACCCCTTCTTCAGTTTGATGTTCGTAGTTTTATGGATTTGGCCTCCTTTTATAGGAGATTTATTAAAAAACTTCAGCTCAATAGCTAGCCCAATCACAGACTGTTCAAAAAAGGGGAAATTTAAATGGACAGAAGAGGCTTCAATCAGTTTTCAGAAGGTAAAGAAAAAACTTCTAACAGCACCTGTGCTAGCTTTACCAGATTTCACAATTTTTTGTAAAGTATGATGCCAACTTGTGTAAAGTGGGAGCAGTGCTAAGTCAGAATGGTCATCCTATAGCATTTCATAGTAAGAATCTCACTGTAAAGCATGAGCAGAAAAAATTGGATCACATATGAGCAGGAGTTGTATGCTGTTGTCAGGGCCTGCAAAGTATGGGAATCTTATTTAATCTAGAGGAAGTTTGTAGATCTCACTAAGCATATAGCTTTAAAATAAATTAATGGGACATCTGATTCAAACAGGATGCACATCAAGTGGTTTTCTTTTCTTGAAGAGGTTTGAATTCACAATAAAACATAGATTTGGGGAAAGTAATAAGGTGGTTGATGCCTTAAGCCGGAAAAAAAATCGTTATTAAGAGTTTTGAGATTAGAAGTAGTAGCTTTTGACCGTTTGAAAGAATTATATCCTACTGATGAAGATTTTTTTGTTATTTGGGAGGAATGCTTTCGGAAAAAGCACAACAAAAGTTTCAGAATTAGTGAGGGTTTTCTGTTCAAGGATAACATGTTATGTATTCCTCAGACATCTTTAGGGACGCAAATTTAAGCCTGAGCTTGCGAGCAGCTCAGGCTTGGCTTGAATGCTTGATTAGGTTCAAGCTTATAAGCCTGGTCACTAAGCTTGATGCACCTATCAAGCAAGCCAAGCCACGCCTTATCAAGCCAAGCTTAGCTTGTTTGGAATTAAAATAAAATAAATATAGGGGTGAAAAGTTTTTTTTTAAAATATTATAATTTCTTTTACAAAAACTTACTTTCAAATTTTATCGTTAGTTATCAAAAATAAAAAATCGTTCATCTCTTATATCTCCCTATCTTCTTCTCCTCTTTCTTCATCGGATTACTCTCCAGCTTACCCTATCTCTTCATCAATGTAACTCTCACATAGGGTGTCAAACGAGCCGAGCTTTTGCTTATTGAGCCGGGCTCGGTCCATTAAGGAGTTATCCAGGCTCAGGCTCGAGCTCGTCGAGCCTGGTTTGGTCGAGCTTGGGCTCGGCTCGTTAAAGATTTGCCAGACTCGGGCTCGAACTTAACCTGCAATTCTGAAATTGCAGGTTAAAATAAATAATTTGCAGAAGTGGGGTATCGATCCCATAACCTCTCATATACTAAGCGAACGCTCTAACATCTGAGCTACTGCCCCATTCTCTCTATGTATAATATTTTTTTTATTTTTTTATGCTCCTCTTACCGAGCCCATCGAGCTTAACGAGCCATGCTTGGAATGTCCAAGCTCGAGCTCGGCTCGTTAAGCTTAATAAGCTTGAGCTTTAGGCTCGGGCTCGGCTCGTTGGGCTCGCGAGCCCGAGCCCATCGAGCCGAGCTTTACTTGACACCCTACTCTCACATAAGTTCCACTCGATCCAAGCTCAGATGAGCTTTATTCAACACTCGTTTTCACTCTCTGGTGAGTTCATCTTTTCACTTTGCTTCTTGAGTTTTTAGTTTTTTCTTCTTCTTAAATAAGCTCACTCAAGCTTCAAGTTGAGCCAAGTCTATTAAGCCCTCAAGCTTAGGCTTGCTTGCTTGTTAATAAAAAAAGTCAAGCCAGGCTTGTTTAATTCAAGCTTATCAAGCTCAGCTCATTTAAAAAATTAATGAGTCAAATTAATTTGCATCCCTAGACATCTTTGAGATTACAGTTGATCATAGATATACATTCAGGAGGTCTATCTGGCTATTTTGGTGGAGTGCAGGTCAAGGTTCCGGATGCGCCTCTGCGCGATGCGCCGCCGCCTGGAGCATCTGAGCATATGCGGGCATATGCGTGCATATGCGCTCAGATGCGCCAGTGGCATTTTCGTAAATATTTATAAAACTATAGAAAATTAATATTTTTTTATATATCTAAATTATATTAATTAAATTTTTTAGTTGAAAATAAATTGGATAGAAAAATTATTATAATACATATATTTATTAATTATTATAACACCCTATAATTCATTGTAACACCAAGGTTTAATGAAGTCTAAAGAGTGGGAGGAGCTTATATTAAAAATAATATAGCTCTTTTCATGGACCAATGTATAAATTTTTATGCTAAAAATTTATAAGGTCTTAAAATAAATTTTTTTTGCCTTTTTTTTTAAAATAAAAACAAAACACTGTTTTAAGTTATTTAAATAACTTAAAATAGGCCTGGATCCGGGTCGGATTTTACCCGGATCCGACCCGGATCCGGCTAAGGGAGATGCGCCTGGCGCATCTCCCTCTGGGGGCGCATCATCGCATATGCGCGCGCATCCGGAACCTTGGTGCAGGTATTATTGGCCGGGAATTAAAAAGGAGGTAGAAAGATTTGTTCAGAGTTATAGATGTGGAGCATATCTAGGTGTGTGGAGGAATAATCGCAACCCTTAATAATAATTGGCCCAATAATAAGCAAATAATAATTATTAAGTAATTAATAATAAGCAATTATTAATTATATACTTATGAGGGAGTGTGAGGGAGTGTCGATCTTGGAGGTAATCAAGCCGTCGCTTGATTAACAAGTGGTATCAGAGCAAGGAGCTGTTTCTCGCTGGTTGGTGACAAATATGATTTTTTTATTAAGGAAGGGCAGACCATCGGCAATCGATCTGAGGTTGGATCTGTGTACGCGATCTGATTTGCTGAAAATAGGTCGAGGACCGATCGGTTGATTGGTGGTCAGCTATCCCTTGGTTATTAGATCTGTGATCGAGCTCGGGTTTGAAATTTGGCTCAAGCAAAATTTGTTTTTTTTTGAAGTAATTAAATTTCATTACAAAAATAAGGCTAATGCCCAGTTTACAAAAATAGAGTATAGAAATAGAAACAAAAGTAAAAAAGAAATGAGCAAGAAGCTCATTGACTCTCTCCCATTAGCTATGTAGTTTAGTTATACAGTAACTAGTTATGGACGGAAAGAAATAAAAAATATAGACAACACATTGGTAGGCCTCCTGAGGTAGTCCTTAAGGAGGTCATTAAAGACATCAGTCTCTCCTTTGATTCAGTGTATTACAAGAAGAGCTGTTGTCACTCTTTGCAGACATTTATGATGGAAGTATGGGAGACCAACCTCTTGAGGCAAAATTTGCTTTTAATTGTATGCGAAGGAGGTCAACTGGTGTTGCTCCATTTATAATAGCTGCTTATGAACATCTTCTCAAGAATGTAATGTATGTCACATCATCAATGAATAAAAAAGTAGAAGATATTATAGAATCCAGCAAAATAATACACAAGCAAGTAGAGGAGTCTGTCCCTAGAGCCAATGATCTTTATAAAGAAAGAGCTGACTTTGTTATGGTTCACCTCAAAAAGGATAGATATCCAAACAAGGTCATATTCTAAGCTGAAAGACAATTTTTTTTAACCTTGCAAGGTGTTGAAGATCAGTGATAGATCTTTCTCCAGAATTCAACATGTCCTCCAGAATTCAATAAGGCAGATTTAAGAAGATATTGTCCATTTGCAGAAGAAGACAGACAATTGAGGGCAATTGAAGTTCAAGAGGGGTCGTCTGATGCAGCCCATGAAACTGTTTGCACTATTCCTTGGCTCGATTTAACTCGAGCCTTGGACCAAGCCCAATATAATTAACAATAGTTCTTAGTTGTTGTAATTTTTCCTTTAGCTTTTTAGTTATTTCTTTATGAAAAATTAAAATTTAACTTTGGTAAAAATAGGCAATGCAGTTTTTCAATTTCCTAATATTATTTAATCCAACAGGAATTAGAGTTGAGGGTATTCTGAGGCAATCTGCAGATGTGGAAGAGGTGGAGAGTCGTGTTGAGAAATATGAGAATGGTATGTTTTCTTGAGTTCATTTCATTTATCAATTATACCTAGTTTTGGTTTACCTTGATTTTTCTTTTATACCTTTGATATTTTCACAATGTTTGTATTATGCAACATTCTCTCTCTTTTTGAAATGTCATTTCTTTGTTGGATTATAATTTGATAAATCAGGGAAAACTGAGTTTTCTTCCGATGAAGATGCCCATGTTATTGGTGATTGTATCAAGGTATAAGTTATTCTCTCTTTAGAAATTACCAGTCACATTTTTTTATGCTTTTAAAAATCGAAACAATCTATCTACCAGTATGTGCTTCGAGAAATGCCGTCATCTCCGGTTCCTGCATCATGCTGTACAGCATTGTTGGAAGCATTTCGTAAGTATGCATGTTATAAGTTTTATGAAGATTTAATATGTAATGAGTACCTGGTTAGAAGAACTAAAGTCACCAAACCCGATTAATTTAGAGAAATTGATGTGTTGGTTTGGGCTACCCGACTAGGTTAGTCCGATTAAATTAATTTAGCTCTAGGTTAAGGCAAACCCTAAAGTATGCAAAAGATCCCCAAAACTCCTAATGCTTTTGATCTTAGTGAATTTAGGCTTTTATGTCAATAACTTGTGGAAAGATGATATATAAGCTCCAAGATCACGACAAACAGATTAGGAAAGGTCACAAAAGATCTCATATCCCCACAACAACAAAAATTTATAGAAGGTGCTTCAATTTTTTTTTATAGAAGTAGAGTTATTTCTGATAATACAATCCTAACCACCTAAGAACCCTAGGAGCCATTTTTGAATCTATCAGGCTAAAGAGCCACAAGGACTTCTTAGCTCATGGGTTATGGTCCCACATGCCAACTAAATCCTCCATCATGTTGTAGAGGATTGTACAAAAAATATATTACAATTCTTGTAAATTTTTTTCATATAAATGCACACATATAGATAAAACTATAAAAATATCAATGTAAAATATTTATAAATTACATAATATAGATGGAAGTGTTAGAGTGTGGGGACGTTTTTCAATAAGGGCATTAATTATAATTAGAATAATTAGAATTAATGTAGGCCTTTTATGAGCCATTAGAATTAAATAGGTTTAATTCTGTTAAATAGAAATATAGAATTAAATAGGCCTTGTAATGGGTATTAGGGTTGCAAACACAAAACGGCAACCCTAATCTCCCATATAAGTATCTTGTAATTACTTGCACTTTTTGTGTGAGATAAAGAAGAAGAAGAGACACCCCGTGGACGTAGGCACATTGCCGAACCACGTAAATCTGTTTTGTTCTTGTTTTTTGCTCGGTTTTCTCAATTCGATTTAAGCATCGATCCTGTCAAGAAGTGGGGGTCGGAGACGGTGAGAGAGAATGCAAATGGGGATTGAGAAATTATTTAAGGATTTGGTATTTTATAAATTGATATATTATATTATTAATTTTAAATTTTATAATTTTTAAGTTAATGTGAACACTGTTCCGCACATTAAGGAGATTATTGGATTTCCTCCTAAGGATCTACCTCTTACTTCCCTGGGTATCCCTATCTCTGGTAAAAGAAAAATATTGGGCAGTGCACTGGTCCTATCCAACAACCAATGGAGAAGACCCTAGCTACGTGGAAGGGTAGATGACTATCCTATGGGAGTAGGTCGGTAGGATCCAACTAGTTACTGGGTCTTTGCTGGCATGTTTACCTACTGGATAAATGGCAGTACACTGCCTAATTCAGCAATCACCAAAGTTGAAAACTTAAATTGGGTTACTGATGGAATGTGGTGATAACTACACTCTTAACCTTACTGGGCTAAAGCTAGGGAGCTCCCTCCAAAAAATCTGTTTATCATTAGTTCCACCCAGAAAAATAGATCCCCTTGCAAAAAGAATCTGGACTAGGAAACCCACCAAATTCTCTGTGTTATTTTGGAGATTGAGGGTGGGATTCCTTCTTTTTGCACCCTTAGACTATGGGGGGTTCCTGCACCTCAACTTTGTGTCCTGTGTAACCTAGAAGCTGAAAATATTGGCCACTTTTTCTTTGATTGTCCTTTTTCAAAAAATATCCCCATATCTGTTTCAAAGAAAATCAATCATATTATGTGGAAGAGTAGGAATTTGCAGGTATCTCAAGGGGTTGAGATTAGAATGGGGGACATGATTGATTGCATACAATCTCTTAGGAAAGGCTCCAATTGTTGGAGGCTATACTGGTTAATACTTGGAGGAATCCCTTGGCATTTGTCGCAAGAGAGGAACATGAGGTGGAAAAGTGGAAAGTTCAGAACTGAGGAAGTGGTGGTTACTAATGAGATCATTATAGACTCTGCAATCTTAGCTTTGATGTCAAGGCTAATTCTCCTGAC